TCAAAATATTTTTGTTTACCTCTGTAAGTAAGCAAACAATTAACTGAAGCAATGAGACTGAGGACAAATAGGAGCTAAAAGTAATGTAGGAAGTGTCTTTTCACTTTACCACTGGCTTTTCAGAAATATTTATGCCAGACAGATAGCTTGTAAAAGAAATGCAAAGGGATTAGAGTTACATTTTTCTTTTACTAATGGAATTGGATGCTAAAATGCTGTAATATTATGATATTGACATATTCTCCTCTTTTACCCCACAATGATAAGGTTCTGTATTTCTGGAGAGAGACAGTAACCAATAACAGAAAAAAATGTGGATGTCACCCAAGATTGTAGATTACTGTCTCCTATTTATATTTTATTTTCAAGTATACTGTCCTGAATGGATGCTGTTAAGCTTTTGATTTAAATCATTTTTTTGTTTTGTCTTATAGGAACAAGTTATGATTACTCACCTATTAATATGATGCAGGCCACATAAAAAGACTACTATTTTTAACATTATTTTGGAAAACAGTAGTTATCCATGCCTTGCTATTTCAGACATATTTATTTTCCATAAATTTAATTTCTTTAGTGTATCAAGCTTTCATTGAGAGTATTTACCATTTGGAATTGTTATTATAATTACATAATTATTATAATTCTAGTTGCATAGGTGCTTGGTGATATTCATACATGATGTCTTTTATTTCTTTTGTTTACAGCAAATTAAGGCGTGGGGATCAGTTTACAGATACACAATTTCTGGATTCCCCAGTCTATAAAGTAAAAAATAAAAGAAGTTTTAAAAGTAAATCAAAATTTATTTGAAGAAGACAAGAGAATTGCCTTTACGAACAATACTTCTAAAGTGGGTACAATTTCTAAAATACATATAAATATATGTTTGGCAGTATAGAGTGCTTATTATTCTTTGATTAGCAAAGGTCTTCCAAAGTGGAATTTCCTGGAAAGGAGCCCCTATATAAGGGACACAGAATACTTTACTGAGGAAGGCAAATACGGGTTAGGCTCCACTCTTGTGTTTTGCATTTCTGGTCAGTAATTTATAATCTGTTCAAAGGGTTTGCAGTACTTCTTAATTTGTAAGAAAAGTGTATGTTTTAATGAGAATTAAAAATAAATCACCTTTGGGAACTTTATTGTGAGTTTTTCATATTTACTATGAGTAGAACCATTTCTCAGCGCTGGTTGGAACAGACACAAGCATCCCAAATTTTGATAAATCTACTGAAATAGATGGACACAGTCCCTTTTCTTTTTTTTTTTTCTTTTTTGAGAGTTGACTTTTGGATTTGACAGAATCATACTGAAATTTGAATGAGGAAGTCTCATTTTGAGGAATAGTAGAGGGAAGTCTAGTGTCCAAAGTATGTGCCACAGGCAGCCAGAAAGAAGATAGCACTGCAATAGAAATTCAATAGTAAATAGGATCCAGACAAAGCAACACCCTGAGTTTCCAATCAAGAGTGCTAATGTGACAACTAATACACCCACATCATACCATTCAGCTATCAGGTTTTTGCACTGCTTCCCCTTTGGATTCTCATAAATCACTTCTGCATTCCATAATGCACTGTCAGCTGACAGTTTTTTGGCATTATCTGAATCGGACATGCTGCCAGCTGCAAGCTATAGCTCACAGGTCACACAACTTTTACAGATTACATTGGATAAGGTTCAAGTTCATTCTGCAACCAAGATGATAGCCATAGCTCATGGCTACATGAGATGAGACACAAATAAGTTAACTTCTTTTGGTTATAGAAGGTGGTTCTTCACTCAGTATGCAGTTACGCTGAGGAATTCCTTACTACAGGAGTAGATGTTATTTATTTACATGGGCTTAAAAATTGATTGGACAAATTAATGGAAGAAAAATCTATGAGGAATTACCAGAAACACCATTTCTGGGACAGGATGTCCCTGAACTGCTAATTGTTGAAGGCTGGAAGAGTGTTCTGGAGAAGCTTTACTATGCATTTGACCAATTTTTATACTTTTTCCAAGGGCATTCACTGTTGAAACCTTCAGAGACCAGTTCTTTGGTTAGCTAGACCTTTGGTCTGATACTGTTTTTAAGAGGTGGAACTGATACTCTTAAATTTGTAATATATTCTTAAAAATACCAAACCAAGCTGTACTCTTTGTACTTCATTGTAGCTTCCATTGTAACCTGGGAAGGTGATGGAGAAAATAGTCCTGGAAACTGTTTCCATACATGTTAAAGACAAGAAGGTGATTGGGAGTAGTCAGCATTGATTTACAAAGGGGAAATCATGCTTTATTAACCTGATAGCCTTCTACAATGAGACAACTAGCTTGGTGGGTGAGGGCAGAGCAGTAGATGTTGCTTATCTCAACTTTGGTAAGGCTTTTGACGTTATCTCTGATAACATCCCACAGACAAGCCGACAAAGTATGTGTTTGTGTTAGTTAAGTGTACAGTGAGGCGGGTTGAAAACTGACTGAACCACCAGTCCTGGAGGGTTGTGATCAGCAGTATACAGTCCGGTTGGAGGCAAAACACTAGAGCTCCCTAGGGTTTCATACTGGGGCCAGTACTGTTTAACATCTTCATTAACGACCTGTATGATAAGACAGAGTGCAGCCTGCACAAATTTGCAGTTGATATGAAACTGGGAGGAGTGGCTGAAACACTGGATGGTTATGCTGCCATTCAGAGGGACCCGGACAAGCTGGAGAAATGGGCCAAGAGGAATATCATGAAGTTCAACAAGGGGAGCCCACATCCTTCTCCTGTGAGTTGCCAGAATTTCAGCTGTGTATTTTGACAGAAGAATGAGTCGTACATATCAAAATGTACTCCTGGATATAGCTTTCAGGTGTGTCCGTTCTACATGTAAGTCTTGAACCATAAACAGTAAGAGGCACAAAAGCATTATTTACAAATATTTAGGTAATACCACAACTGTTTTCTGTTGTGGTTTTTTTTAATGACAGTCTGTAGCCCCAAGGCAGCTTCCCCAAGATCCTGTAGAACATTCCATGTATGAAGTCAGAGTTAAATATGCCACTAGCAAGGTAGTTTACATAGGGGACCTTTATCCCCTGAACAGAGAGCTTGTCTAGCTGTGGTCACCAGTTCCAGAGGCGATGCAAAGATTGTAAATGTACAGCAATAAGGACAGCAAGATGTTTTCATATAGAACCTCACAGGAAAAAAAAAGTATTCCACAGTATGAAAATTCTTCCAATACGAAACTTACCTTATCACCTAGGCAGTGTGATCTGTGTTGCAAAACAGAGCTGTTAATATTATCTGAGAAGTTTCAGCAAACAGGCTTTTTCTTTCTGAAACATGCTGTGTATGTCACTACATTAGCAAGACCATTATGAAGAGGTGCAGAAATGGTTGGGAAGATAGATTCTATCCTGATTCAATGTTATTTAAAAAAGAATTACACATAGAATATTTTTATACATTTTTTTCTTGTATTTTTTACCAAGTTTGTAATTAATTGGGGTTTTTAAAATTGAAATGTTCTTGCTAGCTTTCACTGCTTATCAACACCACCAGCTGTGTCATTAGAAATCCAAAAGAAGTATCTGTTACAACTTGTGCTCCCTGTGCTGGCACTGCAGTGGCAAAACACAATGTTTTTTTAAATGGTTTTTTCTCTCTATTGCCCGTGGTTTGAAAGCTAGAAACAGAAGCACATGCTTCATTTTCTCAGAAAAAAATAATCTTTTTGGAGAGGGTCTTAATTAGCTTTTCAGTTTTTCAGTGAAGGTCCTGTTGTTCCACACAGCCTCAGGTCTTACCAGCTAGACTGCTATGGTGTTCCAAATAAAAGCATGTGATTTTCAATAAAAGCATAAGGCCTAGGGCTTTATGCCTTAGTTTCTTCCATTCCTTTTAGTACAGATATCTTTCAAAGTAACAAAGGATAAAGAAAATGACCTGAAGATGCACAGAAGTTATTTTAAGTAACTCTGAAATCATATTATTGTTGCTACTGCCCTTCTTTCCTTGTTTTCTCCATCCTTACTGTTTTTGTTGCTCAAACTGATGTTCTATACACAGAAAATTTACGTTGTTATTTTCTAGGATGCAGTTCTTCTAATTCTTCTGCAAAATGGTCACTTACTTTAGGTACTGCATAAATAATGTTACATTGCCTGTTGAATCTTCACTAAATGTGCTTCTTTTACCAGATCAGTTGGTATATCAGAAGCTCTTGCCAGGAAAAAGATGTAAAACCAGCTCATGATATTTGAGAAAAGAATAGGTCTGTAGCTGTCACAGGGATTAAGGTTATTTTGCTGAGGATAAGGTAATTTGAACTTTTTTTATAGCTTCAAAGTTGCTTTTTCTCATGTTTATTCAATCTAATTTTTTTTACATTTAATATTTTAGTTTACCACTAATAAAGATTTTGATTGTTTTAAAATTTGTAGGAAAATTGATTTTTTATATTTAGGTTAAACAGAAACAGGAAAATATTTATGATTCTATAAACCCTTGCTTGCACAAGTAGCCCTTACAAATGCTTATAATACCTGGAAGTTCCTGCCGATTATTTTGTGAGTGCAAATTTACGGAAAATTCCCATTGGGCTCACGATCACGACGTTGCTGAATTTTATCACAACTTAAAATTACCTTTGGAGATTTTATTGTTAGCAAGTAACAACAGTTCACATTGCTAATGTTGGCGTTTTGCTCTGGAGGAACATGTACGTCCTTTGAGACAGTGTGAGGCGTGTCTTTAGTGTTTGAATATACCTTTAAAGGATCCAGTAAATAAATTGTGTGATGAGCTGTAAACGTTAAGAACAATTGACTTGTAACTTTTTGGGGCGCCGCGGCTCAGCTTCTAGCGGCGGGGCGCGGTGCTGGGCAGCGCTGTGCGCGGGCGCCCCTGCAGCAACCCC